GAAGCTCTGAGGGGGAATATCTGAGGGGAAAGCTGTGAGGGAGAAGCTCTGAGGGGAAAGCTCTGAGGGGGAAACTCTGAGGGGGAAGCTCTGAGGGGAAAGCTCTGATGGGAAAGCTCTGATGGGAAAGCTCTGAGGGGGAAGCTCTGAGGGGAAAGCTCTGAGGGAGAAGCTCTGAGGGGAAAGCTCTGAGGGGGAAACTCTGAGGGGGAAGCTCTGAGGGGGAGGTTCCAAGGGGGAAGCTGTGAGGGAGAAGTTCTGAGGGAGAAACTCCAAGGGGAAAGCTGTGAGGGAGAAGCTCTGAGGGAGAGGAATCTCCAAGGGGGAAGCTCTGAGGCAGAGGAAGCTCTGAGGGGAAAACTCTGAGGGGGAGGTTCCAAGGGGGAAACTGTGAGGGAGAAGCTGTGAGGGGGAAACTTTGAGGAGGAAGCTCTGAGAGGGAAACTTTGAGGAGGAAGCTCTGAGGGGGGAAGCTCCAAGATGGAAGCTCCAAGATGGAAGCTCCAAGATGGAAGCTCTGAGGGGGAAGCTCTGAGGCAGAGGAAACTCTGAGAGGGAAGCTCCAAGATGGAAGCTCCAAGGTGGAGCCTTTTAGGGGAAGTTCCAAAGGGGCAGATCTGAGTGCCAGCCCCTCCTGACATGGGGTTTGAGGTGCCGAGGGAAGGGCAGATTCTGTGAGGACACAGCCCTGTCATGTCCAGACATGAGCAATAAATGGCCTGCATCTGGAAAGAGCAATTCCCAGCACTGGGAAAATGGGCAGGCAAAACAAAGAGCAGGAGAAGCATCAGGCTCCAGCCCAGCCCTGAGCTTCTTCTCCGGACACTGAGCCTCTTCTCCCCATGGATTTTCCCTGTGGGGTTTGCAGCTGCAGGTGACGTTTGGTCTCTCCTCTCACCTCACCTCAGGGCACTGACACCTTTCCCTCGCTTCATTGCCGGCTCCCTGGCTGGCACCACGGCTGCCATGGTCACCTACCCCCTGGACATGGTCCGTGCCCGCATGGCTGTCACGCCCAAGGAGATGTAAGTGTCTCATGCACAACTTTTTTGGGGTTTTTATAAGGTCACATGGCTCTATTGCCATTTTTTGGGTCATTTCTTGCTTTGGTGGAATAAATCCCTGGGGTCTGAGCAGTGGTTCAATGTCCAGAGGCACAGATGTGGGAGGAGATGGATACTGGGAGACCGGTTTAGGAAGCCAGCTGGATCCAGGAAAACCCAAGAGGACAGCACAGCAGGGCTGTGGGAGAGCTAAAATCCCCTCTGAGCTGCCTGATGAGCTGGGAGCCAAATTAATTACGTGTTAATCCATCAGGGAGCCCTGCTGGGAACATCCCAGCCACTGACCAGCGCAGGTCTGCTCTCCCCGTGTCCCCACGCCAGGTACAGCAGCATTGTCCACGTCTTCATCCGGATCTCCCGGGAGGAGGGGCTGAAAACCTTGTACAGGGGCTTCACACCCACCATCCTGGGCGTCATTCCCTACGCCGGCCTCAGCTTCTTCACCTACGAGACGCTGAAGAAAGTCCACGCAGGTAAAACAGGGAAAACGCTGGAGGTTTTGGGGCAGGTGTTTGGATGGAGGGGTCCGAGCGCTCTGGGGTCTGCAGGGTGTGAACCAGGAGTGCAGAAATGCCGTGCCTGTCTTGTGGAGGAGAAAAAGTGGGATTTCCAGGTGGAGAAGGACTGGGTTGTGCGCCGAGTTGGGAGCAAAACGTGGGGAGAGCAACCTGGGGAGGAAAACCTCGGGAGTTGTACCTGTGACATGTCAGTAAATGTGACATCACTCAGGGGTTTGTTTTGTGGGAGCTTTTCTAGTGATTTTGGGGACCTTTTCTAGTGATTTGGGGACCTTTCCTAATGATTTTGCTTGGGAGAGCAACCTGGGGAACAAAACTTGGGAAACAAAATCTGGGGAGGAAAACCTTGGGAGCTCAACCTGGGGAACAAAACCTCGGGAACAAAACCTAGGGAGCAAAAGTTGGGGAACAAAACCTTGGGAACAAAATCCGGGGAGCAAAACCTCAGGAGAGCAACCTGGGGAACAAAACCTTGGGAGTTCAGCCTGGGGAACAAAACCTCGGGAACAAAACCTGGGGAATGAAACCTTGGGAACAAAATCTGGGGAGCAAAACTTGGGGAGCAAAACCTGGGGAGCAAAACCTTGGGAGTGCTACCTGGGGTGAAACACAAACCGTGGGGAACCGACGAGCGCAACCCCCGCAACAAAACCTCGGGAGCCCCTACAGCCTGTCCCCTCGAATTCCGTGTCAATGCCAAGGAGTTTCCCGTGTGTGTCCCCCGCAGAGCACAGCGGGAAGGCGCAGCCCTCGCCCCCGGAGCGGCTGCTGTTCGGGGCGTGCGCCGGCCTCATCGGGCAGTCGGCCTCGTACCCGCTGGACGTGGTGCGGCGCCGCATGCAGACTGCCGGCGTGCTGGGCCACACCTACAGCTCCATCCTGCTCACCATGCAGGAGATCGTCAGGGAGGAGGGACTGGTGCGAGGGCTCTACAAAGGGCTCAGCATGAACTGGGTGAAGGGCCCCATCGCCGTGGGGATCAGCTTCACCACCTTCGACCTGACGCAGATCCTGCTCCGCAAGCTGCAGCAGAGGTAGTGGCTCGGTGGCCAGCGTGTAGAAAGAGCAGTTGGTTCTTCCCTGGCCTCCCACGTGCTCCTGCAGCTGAGAACTCGCCCGTTTGGGTTTTGGTTTGGTGGGGTTTTTTTTTTTTTCCTGTTGTTGTTGGATTTTTTATTTTTTATTTTTTTTTTCCCCCTACACTTTTTAATTTGGAAGCCTAACTGTTCCCTAAGCGGAAAATTCCCGATCCTGCAGAGCCGAGTCCTCCCAAGCAGCTGCCTCACCCTTCTGATGGACTCTGCCCCCAGGAGTGGAGCCTCCCCACCCCACCTGTGCTGCTCCTGGCTCCTCACCTGGCTCTCCGTGGGCAGATGGAAGCTGTGGATGATGGAAGAGGGGGCTCGGAGCTGTTGGGAATGAACCCCTGGATGTGGGAAGTGGCAGATCTGCAGCTCCCTGCAGCCTGCCAAGTGCAATATCCCAGTGTAGTCCGCAGGGAATTCCAGGTTCCTGTGAGAGCAGGACACTACGCTTGTTCCGAAAGCTGAATGTTTTCTCTGGCTGGGAATCCTGCTGTTTTTCCATGAATTTTCCTTGGTTTTGGGTTGAGCTGCATCAACCACCCTCATTTGTGGCGTCCCTCTGAGATTACCAAAGACTGGAGGCAGCAGAGGAGGGGAGTTTTGAGCCCTTTCATAAAGGAAATTTTCCTCTGTGTGTTGTTGCTGAGCCAGGGCTGTGCCTGGATTCCCAAACTGGATCCGCTCCCAGCTGCGTTCGTGTTTTCCTTCTGTGCTGCCCTGCCCTGGAGAGAGGCAGCGTTTTCCAGGGGTGTGGATGCACTGAGGAAGGAGGCATTACATCCTTCAAAATCCCATTTGTTTTGGTCAGTGTTATGGCTGCTGTGTGCACCGTGTGAGAACAAACCCTGCTGCAGCCGGGGCTGTCCCCAAAAAAAAACCTGTCCCCGGGAGCTGATCCCAGCTCCTGGATGTCCTGCTTTGGTAGCTGCTGCGTGGGTGGTGTCACCTCTGTTCACAAACTCATCCCCTCAGCTGTTTTATCCCTAAAATTCCTCTTGGAATTGAGTCCTTGTGGGCACCGCAGCGTTGACCCTACAGTGCCAATCGCTTCCAGCTGGAATTGGACGAGGAGTGCTCAAGAACTTCTCAGCGTTCCTCTTTGAAATCAGTTTTTTTCAGGGAAATGGAGATTTATTTCTTTTTTTGGTGGATGATCCATCCCTCTGTTAAAATCCAGAGGTCAGAGCAGACTTCAGACTCCTCTGGCGATCGACACAAACCGAGGTGGGAAAATCCCTTTCCAGAGAGTCCATAATGTGAGGAAAAACCCCAAAATTTAACTTAAAACCTGTCCTTTCCTGCTTGTTGTGTATTTTAGCTGTCGTAGCCGGATGGGATGAACGGGAATTGAAGGAATTGCACAAGGGGGGCAGGAGCAGCCTTCTCCTTTCTTTTTTTGTCTTTGCACTTCTTTGGAGCATGAACCTGCTCCCGATGCCAAATATTTCCTTAGGAATCAGGGAATGTGGGAATGGCACTGGAGTGTTGACACACAAATTATTCCCAGGGCTGGGATGGGGCAGACTGGAGCTGGGGTTTGACCTCAGGAATTCTGCCCCCGAGCCTAGCAGGGCGGCACATTCCCTGATTTCCCTGGGAATTAAAGATCCCCGGGGTTTTGGGAGGCCCTGGAGGGTGATGGCCACGAATTCTGGGTCATTTGGGGGTTTTTTTTTGGGCTGCTGGAAAACTCTCAGCTCTGCTTTCCCTTCGCTCAGCCCCCGATTTCTTTTCTCCAATGGAGAAGCCGATTATCCTGCTCTTGTCCTGATCCAGAGGGAGGAATTCCCGCGGCACTTCCAGCCTCTGTCCCCGTGTCCTCTCCCTTCCCTGTCCCCTCCCAGCCGGGAAAAACAGGAATTCCAGGAAGCCTGGGGGTGCTGAAACGTTGTTCCTTAATTAGCAGCTGCACCTGATTTAAATTCAGCAGAATTTCAGCCGATTTTCCCACAAGTTTTGCAGGCTGGGTGTTTGTCCAGGGGCAGAATTTGAATTCAGCCTGTGATGGTTTTGGTGCTTTTGTTTCTCAGAGCGTGTTGCTGCTTTGGGTTGGTTTAAAAAGCTTTTTTTTTTTTCCCTTTTTTTTTTTTTTGAATGTAGAAACTGGGAAACAGAGTGTTCCCTTCCCTTTTCTTCCCTGCATGGATTCAGACACGTTCCAGATCTTTTTCTGAGGTGTGCTGGCCAGGAAGAGCTCTGAGAAAGGAAACAACTCAAAACAGGAGTTTTTCCTTTCCCCCCCCCCCTTTTTTTCTCCCCCTTTCCTCCAATTCCCTAATTTTTTTCATTTTACTCCTCTCAAATTTAATTTCCCACTCACCCTTCACACAGACCCTTAAAACATCACCACCAAATTTGTTTGCTTTTTGGTTTTTATTTCCCTCTTCCCTCCTCCTGCTTCTTCCTGCACCTTGAGCCCCGCACTAGCACTTCGAGAAAACCAGGTCCAAAAAAAACGCACCCAAAACGTCAAAATTGCAGCTTTTTAGTGTTTTCCAACACCTTTTCCCCTCACAGCCTGGATACTCCAGGAATTTTCAGGCACCACGGGCTGGTTTTGAGCTCCTCGTCTGGTTTGGAATTTTCACTTTATACATTGGTAGGGGCTGATTCCCCCCATTTTCCCCCTCCTTTTTTTCCCCTTTTTTGCCTCATTTTCTCCCCCCTTTTTTCCCCCTTTCCCCTTTTTCTCCCCTATTTTTTCCCCCTTTTCCCCCCTTTTTGCTTCCTTTTCTCCCCCCTTTTCTCCCCCCTATTCTCCCCCCTTTTCTCCCCCCTTTTCTCCCCC